ATTCTTTCAGTTAGTATTAGCAGACAGTAGTCTTATTTATGTGATTCCTTTGACTCTTAATCCTTTCATTAGGATCAATTGTGAACTGAAACTGATCACTTTGACTAGTGAGATGGCATTGGTACATGCCACCTTGATGGGATTGAATTGGAATCAAAAAATATGGAACACTTCACGAATTTGTGTGTCATCCTTGTGCAGGTGTCATGCTAATCTTCTCTGTATAATTCCAAACAAATTGCTGTTAAAAGGATGAATACCTAGATTGGATTTCATGGGATTTAAAGATCAAAACATTTTCCATCACCATAGAAAATACTTTTCATACATATGTCCAACAATGGACTTCTTTTTTTTTAACTTTTATTTAATGAATATAAATTTCCAAAGTATAGCTTATGGATTACAATGGCTTTTTTTTTTTTTTTTGACAGGCAGAGTGGACAGTGTGAGAGAGAGACAAAGAGAAAGGTTTTCCTTTGCCGTTGGTTCACCTTCCAATGGCCGCTGCGGCTGGCGCGCTGCAGCAGGCGCACCGCGCTGATCCGATGGCAGGAGCCAGGTACTTATCCTGGTCTCCCATGGGGTGCAGGGCTCAAGGACTTGGGCCATCCTCCACTGCACTCCCTGGCCACAGCAGAGAGCTAGCCTGGAAGAGGGGCAACCGGGACAGAATCCAGCGCCCTGACCGGGACCAGAACCCGGTGTGCCGGCGCCACAAGGTGGAGGATTAGCCTATTGAGCCGTGGCACTGGCCTACAATGGCTTTTTTCCCCCCATAACTTCCCTCCCACCTGCACCCCTCCCCTCTCCCGCTCCCTCTCCCCTTCCGACAATGGACTTCTTATAAACCAACAATAAGAAAAAAAAATTAAAAATTAATCCCAATAAGCATTTGGCTATATATTGTTAAATATGGTTAAAAATAAAGTGTTGCCAGGTATGGAGCAGCTAGAGCACTCAGAGATTGCTAATGGGAATTCAACATGGTAATGTCATTTTTGAAAACAGCTTGAAAATCTCTTAAATAAAGTTTGACATAATTTTATCATGCAATTCCTCTCATGAAAATCCTTTCAAAATAAATGAAAACATATGTCTATACAAAAATTTGTATGTAAATGTTCATAAAAGCATTATTAATAATAATTTAAAACTGAAAATAACCAAAATGTCCATCAACTAATGAATGAATAGATTAATCACAGAAGATCTATACAATAGAATAATACTTGACTAAATGGAGGGAAAAATTACCGATGTATGAAATAGCATGAACATATCCTCCAAACATTTAGCTCATGGAAATAAACCAGACATGAAAGATAATATATTGTGTAATTACATTTATATGACATTCTAGAAAAGGCAAAGCTATAGTGACAGAAAGCAAACCTGTGGTTTCCTGGACCCAGGAGTAAAGAGCAAATTATGAGAAAGCTTTTGGAGTTATGGAAATGTTCTGCATCTTAATTGCAATGGTTGTTACATAATGGCATTGATTCGTCAAAACTCATGAAACTGAACACAAAAATTGGTGCATATTACTGTATATGAATTATACTTCAATGAAGATATTAAAGAGGAAAATGTTATTTTTATTATAAAGAGATTATTTCATCACATGATTGATGAAATAGTTCACCAAAATTATTTCAAACCCAAGGCTAAGAAGGCTATTAAAAATATCTCCTCTTATGACACTGCCTAGGAATAACATTTTCTCAAGAAATTCAGAAGAAACTGAAGTAGTTTGAAAAATATGCCTTGATCTTCCTTTTTGAAATGGAACAAATGGATGAATGAAGATCATAGAGGAAGACAGTCTATTAAGCTGGAGGAGACAAGATATATTCTTAATGGAAATGGTGACACTTTGGATGATGACAATATGGAGGCGGAAAAGAGTTATAAAGGAGAAAGGCAATAAATCTAGGTTTAACTGTTCCTAAATAGTAAATTAAGAGAGGGAAGGCATTATATTTGTTAATAGGTCAGAATCAAGCCTGTAACCTATTGTAATCAAACAGAAGAAAGGAGGCAATCTTTCAGAGAACTTGTCAGAATGATTATCTAGAAGTTTCCAGGATCTAGCAAACTCTAAGGGAGAGAAAACAGACTATAAAACATGGTCAGTATCTGAGCCAGGTAAAAATTAAATGTTATGTGATTTATGGGCTTCCTTAGAACCTTGGGATGAAATTTCATGGTTGGAATTATCAGAAGATTGTCGCTTGACAATCTCTAACCAAACAGAATTTGGATGTATGTGGATGGGGAAGACCCAAAATATCATCATAAAATACTCAAAGGATCATTGGATAAATTTTAAGATAGCATTGCCATTCTTGGATTGAACAGACATCACAGGCTTTGGATTGTGAAATTAGGATTCTAAGGAAGGCCCTAGCAAGGTGAGGTCTATTAAAGATAGGAAAGTTATAGGTTAAAATCATGACCTGGGTTCAATATTGGTCTTGTGAGCAAATATCTCCAGGGAACGGGATTATCCAGGTCAGGTAGATGAAAGTGAGTAAGACATGAGCAATGAGAGCTTTTGGTAGCTCAGTAATTTACTGATTATTTTCTTGTCTCAAATCTGAGATCATTTAAAACATGCAAGCAAATAAGAAAAAGTCTATGCTAAAAGCCAAGAGAAAAGGAAAGAAGACATAAGGTCCAACTATCATGATATCTTTACTTGTGATACATAGGAAAATATCCATTGAAGCATCAGGTTGAATACAACTAAATTTTTCTGAAAGAACAGAAGAACAACGTGAACAACCAGAAATGTGTTCTATTATTGCAGAAAAATATGGAGCAGAATGCAAAGCCATGCAAAGCCTGGAGCACCCTAAAGCTGATGGAAGACAGTAAGTGCTTTGAGGATACAGGGAAGGAAAATCAGCTGTTGCTCCTAGGAGGAAAATACTCAGAAATATCAGCAGGAGCTTCAGTTCAGAGGTGTGCTAAGGTTGAGATCACCCCAGAAAAAATTTAGAGAGTAGAGTAATATCTTTTCCAGGAAATGGGTTCCACTGGCTCAAGGAATTCTATTGCATCAGTTCTGTTAGAGGGAGCAGCCATTGTGCAATAGGACTGAAAATGCTTACTCAGTAGAAGGTGAAGAAATTATAGTCTTAATAGATACCACACTTGATATGGCACCAGGGCACCAGAAAAACAAGACTTGAAGAGGAAATGGAAGTAAGACCTGTGACTGGTACTATAATCACTGCACATTTCTAAACTTTCTAAGAAATCTACAATGTCTTCAGTATGTCTCTCAGAAAAGAGATAATAGGTACTTGGATTTTCCTTCAGATGTAATAAATTTCTCCCAATTGGGTTTATGTTCATAGCTATGAACTTTAGATAATTAGTCAACTGACTGGCATCCTGGCAAGACTGGACTGGAGACTGTCTTCTCTCTGAAATTGACCAGCTGTTTGAGCCTAAACCCTTTAGCTGAGCCTAAGCTGAATAATAACTTGGGGAGGAAGAATTAAGGATGTTAATTCTTTTGCACGTTAAATTATTTGCTCTATAACTTGCAAGAGAATTTAATCTTTGGACTTCAATTTCTTCAGGGAATTTCACAATGTGAGGGAGTTTATATGCAAATTTTGGGCATCTTTATGTTGTCGAGAATTTATTAGTGGAATATATTAGTGTTAGCATTTAATCATATTGCATAACCTCTGGTGAGCTGTATTGGGTGGTTTAGTTGGGCATAATTTGGGATGGGAAAAAGAAAAGGGAGTAAATTCTCAGCCTTGGATACAGTGTGGATTTGGAGTTAATCTAATTAGTGTGCTGTCAGGGAGCAATTTTATGCTTCCTGCCAGTGGTCACAGGAGGGTAAGAAAGAACAGCAGGAGGTACTGAGAAAGCACTGTCTGAAGGTGAGAACCACCTGTTTGATGCCTAGCTGCTCTGTTTTGTGTAGGACAGTCACACTCTTGGTTTACAATCTTCATAGTCCCAAAGGATAAGAGAAAAAAAAATATGATTAGGGAACAATATCTCCTCATCAATCTTATTTTTTTTTCTTCTTATTTTTTTTTTAATGTGAGGATCCTTAAGTAACCCTGTTGCCTTTTACCCACCTTCTTTCTTATTCCACTCTGTCTTACTGGTCAGAGGCATCCACTCTTCCATGTTTATCTATTTCATTGAGATAATTTATCACTAACTTCCCAGCATAGAATGTTAGTCTCTTGTTTTCTTTATCAGTGTGAGGCAGAGATTCTGCACAATGTTTTATTTTGTAGATTCAAATTTTACCCTTGGATGGGCTTTCCTATGATTTGTGGTATGAATGGGAGGTAGTATTGTAGGGAATATCAGTGCACTTTTTATTATGTAAATGAGCCACATATTGCACTCTAGATTTTATAGTAATAAACACTATGCCTTGATATCCATTTTTGGTCTCCCTTTAATAGTCTATTTCTCAATTGGATTTTATCTTATGTATATATAGGAATTTATTATTATTATTATTATTGAAGTTTCTCAAATAAATGAAACCAATGCAAAATAGATAGTGAAGAATAGAGTTTGTTAGAGATAAGTGTGCATGAAAGTGATGAGAAATGGGGCAAAACATGGATGAGGGCTTTAAATTTAATTTTTCTTTTCACTAAATACAGGGAGAATTGGAGGTGTTTGAATAGGTTGGAGACATTTCCAGGGATGGGTTTTCCAAATAATAATCTGGCAAAGCATGTAAGTAGAGTGAAAGGAGATGGACAAGAGGAGAAGTAACTACTGAAGAAACAAGGTTAGGGAAAAAATAACATCATAGAGATGTAGCCAGGAGAACTTGACAGGTGATTCTCTGTTGAGGGTCAAGGGAAGAGAATTGGCAAAGTAATGAAGTTTTACAACCTTGGAAGTTTAAACCAAGGATAGGCAAACTTTTTATTTTTTATTTTTTTATTTTTGGCCCTGAAAAGGGCCTTTGGGTGGGGATCTCGGGCCGCGGGGGCAGCTCAGCCGCCGAAGCTGAGGAGCGTGGGGCCCTGGCACTTGAGCGCGTAGACCACGTCCATGGCCGTGACCGTCTTTCGCTTGGCGTGCTCCGTGTAGGTGACGGCGTCGCGGATGAAGTTCTCCAGGAAGACCTTGAGCACGCCGCGGGTCTCCTCGTAGATGAGCCCCGAGATGTGCTTGGCGTCGCCGCGCCGGGCCGGGCGGCGGATGGCGGGCTTGGTGATGCCCTGGATGTTGTCGCGCAGCACCTTGCGGTGGCATCTTCCTTCATATTTTGCTTGGTGTTCCTATCAGAGTCATCATGATAGTGATTTTTGACCTTGGCAGATGCAATTGCTTCTGGTTTCCAGCTTGTTCTCGCATTCCCAGAACCCAGTCATAATGAAGCTGCCTCGGAAGCATCAGTGCCAGCTGGCTGGCGCCCACTTCTCAGAAGTTTGAGTCTGGGCACCATGAGGCTCCTCCCCAAGTACCTGAGGCACCAGCATCAGCAAGGCAGTGCGCTCTTCTGAGGTGCGAGATTCTAGGTTCTGATCACCCTACCCTCTTCCTGCTGTTCCACCAGCCCTAAAAGGGGAAGCTGCTTCCTGCAGTTATTATATTTTTATACCTCAATATTCCCTTTCAATTTTCCAATCATATTATTTCCCATATTAATTCTCTCTTTCGAGTTGATGCAATTTTCATTTTCTTGACTGAACCCTGATCAACATAAACTATATATAGAATAGGGGGATGGGTCCGGCGCTGTGGCGCAGCAGATTAAAGCCCTGGCCTGAAGCGCTGGCATCCCATATGGGCACTGGTTCTAGTCCGGCTGCTCTTCTTCCAATCCAGCTCTCTGCTATGGCCTGGGAAAGCAGCGGAGGATGGCCCAATTCCTTGGGCCCATGTACCCACATGGGAGACCCGGAAGAAGCTCCTGGCTCCTGGTTTCAGATTGGCACAGCTCCGGCCATTGTGGCCATCGGGGGAGTAAACCAGCGGATGGAAGACCTCTTTCTCTATCTCTACCTCTCTCTGTAACTCTATCTTTCAAATAAATAAAATAAATCTTTAAAAAAAAGAATAGGGGTATATGTAGGGACACACCGAGAACACACAAAGGCAGTCTGGATATGTAGAATCTACTTTTAGAAATGATGGATTTGAAGTACTGACAGATTGACCAATTACAGATTTCTAGCTAGCAATTTGATATTGAAGGAAGTCAGGGATGTATTGTTTATATATGGAGGTACTATTTACATGACCAGAGAAAAATAACTAGGTAAGAACTGGTGAAGAAGACTGAAATGGGAATCATCTCCATTTTTGAAGAGTATGAAGAAGAGGAAGGATAAATGATGAACATGACACAGAAATGATCAGCCAAGGCAGAAGGAAAATGTGAAGTCAAGAAAAGAGGGTGATTAAAAAAAAAAAAAAAAAAACCAGCAGCAGGCCCATTGTTCTTGCACGATTTCATGTTCTGTCCTTGAAGATGGCTGGAAAACCTCTTCTCCACCTTCTTTTCTTTGGCCCGACTGACCCAATATTTTCCTCATATGATTTCCCAAAGACACTTTACATGGCTCCTTTTTGCAAGAGCATTGTTGGTAAAGGCAGGGGTGCTGCATTAATTAAGTCAAGCTCAACCCACAAAAGATCTTTAACTCAAATTACCAGCTTCTGGGTTTTCAAGCTTTTGAAGTTTAGGTTTATTTGAAATTGTTTGGGTTTCCCCCACACACCTTTTATGATTTTCATCATCAAAAGCAAACGCTGGTGCTTGGAAGGACTGACTATTAAAACTGCAAGCACCTCACCGAACTCAAGCTCTTCCTGCATGCTGTTCTTACAAAGGCCTTCAGCCTGCGCTGGCTGTAGAGACGTTTAAAAGCAGTGCGTACTTTGAGGCATAGTAGAGATAGGACATGATGCTCGGAAGAGATAAAGAGACTAAGTTCTGATGCCTATAATCTAGAAACTCTGCCACCCCCACAAAGAATAAAACTGAAGCTCTTGCTAAGCCCTTGTTTCCATAGTGTAACTTCCTTTTCTGAACAAGTGGCACTTAGCCTTGCTGCAGTTCAAATGAACATATGAATCTTAAAAAAAAGGACAAACATGAATTTTAAAATGACACTTTCTTTTAAAAAATAAGGTAGGACTTTTTTTTTCCAATTACATGATTGAAAGAGAATTTACAATGTGGTCGTACAGTTTTCACTAATAATTTGTCTAAGATTAGTACATGTGCTGTTCTTGTCATTAGCATGAGTTTTTTGGCTTGTGCAGCTCACATTACTCCATTTTCCAGTTCTCACTAGCTTGGAGACTTCCAGTTTCTTTCTTTACTGCTGTCATGTCGCCCAGCTTCTCTGTACTCAGGCACAGGGAACAGGAGAGAGTGTGCTGTCGGTGACTCCCAACTGAAGCCTCGGGTTGTTGCAGGTCAGGCTGCTACATCTCGTCCTAATGAGGCCCCAACTCCTTTTAGTTCAAACTTTTGTGCATAGTTTTTCTTATTTCTGGAAGTGTGTGGTCATTTTACTTATTTTCATACACTCAGGCTACCTCTATGTAAATCAGGCAAGATGAAACTTTTCCTCCATATGTGAAGATTTAAAAGGAGTGCTTATAAATGGAATTAGTAATCGAGGTGAGTACAGGTAGATAAAGGGTTAGCTTCTGAGAGCTTTAGAACCTAGAAGAACAGCTAGCCAGGAATGGGTTAAAACTGAAGTAAACCCAAGTACAGAATATTGTAAGAAGATGGTCAGAGGCCCAAACTGGGTCTGAGGGAAGGAAATTGTTCAACTGGCAGTGCTTCTGACAGTGGTGGCTAGTCCCACTGTTCAACTGCCGACATGACAATGTTAGCTTAACATCTACTCTACGCAGGGCACAGAGAACGTGAAACTCAAGAAGAGTTTTATGTCTTGAGGATTCACAGCTATTAAGCCATCATTCTGCCTACTTTTCCTGCCTCTCTCTGTCTTTCCTATTTGAATGCTCTCTTTTTTTCCCCTTTTTCAGATTCATTTCTCCATTTTTTTTCTTTAGAAATTTTCCCTTTTGGTACTTAATTCGATGTATTCCCAAAGATGAATCTGTTTTCCCAAAGAGGGTGACTGTGTCTCTCAGTACCTAGTTATTTTCTGAGACTTTCTCTCTATTATTTGACACATTATATATAAAAATTTAATATGGGAAGACATAAAGATGTGTACAATATCCATTTATTAATTCATTTACTCATTTATTCAGTAGCTTTCCATTGAGAGCTTAATAAGTGCCAGGCATTATTTAAGAAAGTGGGGATAAGTGAATGATTCATTTTTTTTTGTCTTCAAGAACTCACAGCCTAGAGTAGGAGCAAGATCCATAAATGCATGAAGGCCTCCAAGGCTTAAGAGAATAAGGGTGAAAGGCCAGCAAATGTGGAGGGTTTGATGAGAAGCACTTAGTTCCCTGACATCTCTTCTGTCTTCATCTTACTTTCCTATCACTTGCCAACTTGCATATATTTTACTTGGCTCTATAGTTCGTATCTCTGTATATGACAATATATACTCTTGTTTTTGTCACTGTGTGTGTCATGAATAATACGATGAATAGAAATCTATATTCCCAGAAGGTGTAGGAAATAAAGTGTCAAGAAGGAGAGAAAAGACAAAATACATAGCAGGCACAAAGGCAGAGGAAGGTGGAAGAACTTGGGCTGTTGAGATCACGGTGGCTATGGTGGCTAGCTTTTTAGAGGCATAGGAGTAACAAGGAACTTCAGAAAGGGAGAGATCTTTTGGTCATACTGAGGAGACTGGACCTTATCTTCTAGTCAATAAACTTCAATATTTGTTTTTTTTTAATTTATTTATTTATTTGAAAGGCAGAATTACAGAGAGGGAGAGGTAGAGGCAGAGAGAGAAGTCTTCCAGCCACTGGTTCACTCCCCAAATGGCTGCAATGGCCAGGGTTGGGTCAAGCTGAAGCCAGAAGGCAGGAGCTTCATCCAGGTCTTCCACATGGGTGCAGGGGCCCAAGGACTTGGGCCATCTTCTGCTACTTTCCCAAGCACATCAGCAAGGAGCTAGATCAGAAGTGGAGCAGCCAGGATTTGAACTGGCACCCATATGGGATGCCAGCACTGCAGGCAGCAGCTTTACCAGCTATGCCACAGCCCTGGCCCCAACTTTGGTGGTTTTTAAGCAGAGGAGTGGTATATTTGGCTGTTTGATGGCAGATTGTAAAAAACAGATTATAGTGGGGGGAGGAAAACTTGGAAGACAATTTTAATGAGGACCTGGCCTTGGATAATAGTGTTAGTCATATAAACAAAATAGCCAGCTTGGACAACGTTGAAGAGACAGGGTGAAGTAACTCCAGGAATATCTGGGTACAGGCATTGGGGGAGAGGGAGAGGCAGGCTTTCCTCTGGATGGGGCATGGTACCCTATTGCCACAAACTTTGACTGCATTGGCCCTGGGAGTAACTTAGGCTCTTCTTGGGTGGAAAGCATAGCATATGAGAAGTGAATTATTAGTAGTTTACCTTCCTCCCAATTTTCACTTTGCCATGGCTTCCATTTCCTTGCTTGACACCAATGTCATAAGGGAATTCATGATCAAGTGTCAAGCATCTGGCCCCAGTAGTCAGTGCTACGTATGGGGAAAAATGGCACCATAGTGTGAAATCAAGAATTCTGGGCTCACCTTCTGAGCTGACAGTAACTAGATGTGTGAATTTTGGCAACCACTTCCTGACTTTGGATAGCAGTTTCTCACCTTTTAAGTCTGTTTCAGGTGGGACATGGTGAAGACTGCTCTAGAGGACATTTAGGTTTGTTCAGACCTATCATTCCATGAATAGATATTTATCTTTCTTCTCTAAGTGAGTGTCTGCTTTTGACTGGACTGTTAGTTTCTTGAAGATAGCAACTACTGTATTTGTCTCTGGGTCCCAGGGACTTGGCACAGGGTCTGGGGTAAAGAATGCAGAAGTAGCCGGTGCCGCAGCTCAGTAGGCTAATTCTCCGCCTTGTGGTGCCGGCACACCGGGTTCTAGTCCCGGTTGGGGTGCTGGATTCTGTCCAGGTTGCCCCTCTTCCAGGCCAGCTCTCTGCTGTAGCCAGGGAGTGCAGTGGAGGATGGCCCAAGTGCTTGGGCCCTGCACCCCATGGGAGACCAGGATAAGTATCTGGCTCCTGCCATCGGATCAGTGCGGTGCGCCGGCCGCAGCGTGCCAGCCGTGGCGGCCATTGGAGGGTGAACCAACGGCAAAGGAAGACCTTTCTCTCTGTCTCTCTCTCTCACTGTCCACTCTGCCTGTCAAAAAAAAAAAAAAAAAAAGGAATGCAGAAGTAATGTTTTTGAACAAATGACTGAATGAATGATACTCATAGTTCATTAATAATGCTCTCCCATCCTCCCTCTCTCCTGGGATTAAAGCCTTCGTGTATTCTGTGCTTGCCTTCCCCTTGTATAACACTCCCACCCATCTTGTCCTTATCTATTAAATTAGGACACAATTTTTCCCTCTCAGAAAGGTATTTCTGATCTGGCTTCCCTTCTACCTCCAGACAGTCACCCAAATCTCTGCCCTTTACCCTAAAAATGAGACTATTGCAATAAGATACTCACTTCCTGTTGTAGTTTCCCTCTCCTAAACCCATTCCATATATGTCACCATATTAAGCTTCCAGAGTTTTGTGATGTGGTATTTTAAATGGCTAAGGCCAGTGGGCATTTACGTTGAGTACATGTTAAAATCTGGCTTAAGCTTATACTGACATGAATTCTCCACTTACTCTGTCTCTCATAGTCTTCCAGCCAATTGCATATTTGCATCTCTTATGTTGCTTAGTGCTATTTAATCTGTCTGGAATGTTCTCATCTTCCTCACCACCAATTCTTCTGTCAAGACCCGGCTCCTTACTTCTTGATTAGTCTGCTCCTGTAGCCTCCCAGGTTTTATTCCAGCCCAAAGTACTGTATCCTTCACTCATCTAACAAACAGTATCACTACTTATCCAAGTATTTCTCAAGTTGTCATCTTATCACATGCTTATGTCTTGTCACTTTCTGTATCTTTATAAGGCTCTTGAGGTTAAGAAATATATCTTATGTATCTTTGTATTGCTCATTGTTTAATGACAACAATAAATTTTTTTCAAAGATTTATTTATTTATTTGAAAGAGCTACAGAGAGGCAGAGGTAGAAAGAGAAAAAGGTCCTGCATCTGCTGCTCCACTCCCCAAATGGCCAGAACTGAGTGGATCAGAAGCCAGGAACCCGTCTCCATCTGGGATGCTGTCAGTGCAGGCAGTGGCTTTATCTGCTATGCCACAGTGCCAGACCCCTCTTTACCTTCTAGTATTGATCCTTTTTTTTTTTTTTTTTTTTTTTTGACAGGCAGAGTGGATAGTGAGAGAGAGAGAGACAGAGAGAAAGGTCTTCCTTTGCCGTTGGTTCACCCTCCAATGGCCGCCGCGGCCGGAACACCGCGCTGATCCAAAGGCAGGAGCCAGGTGCTTCTCCTGGTCTCCCATGGGGTGCAGGGCCCAAGCACTCCACTGCACTCCCAGTCCATAGCAGAGAGCTGGCCTGGAAGAGGAACAACCGGGACAGAATCCGGCGCCCCGACCGGGACTAGAACCCAGTGTGCCGGCGCCGCTAGGCGGAGGATTAGCCTAGTGAGCCGCGGCGCCGGCTAGTACTGATCCTTACATGTGCCAGAAACCTACCCAAGCTCTTTTGTACATTCATGACCTCTCTTCATACTGGACAACCATCCCATGTGTGATGGATATTATTACTATCTCCATTCTTCATATAAAAAAAACTGAGGCCTAGAAATGTTAAGTAATTAGTTCTAGATCACCTCTCAAGTGCCAGGATCTAGTTGAGTTTTCACATGTAATAGGCACCTCAAAAGTCGAATAGTTGGTTGTCAGTAGATATTGCTTCCTTTTTTTCTCTTCTGTGTGACTGAAGCAGAGGTATGGTGAAGGCAAATAGTTTTGAAGTAAGCTCTGGAGTATCACTGAGCAGCTCTAAGAGGAACAACAGTAGCAGGGCAGTAGCCCTGTTAATGGAGGGGTAAAGGCTCACAAGCTGAGGAAAATATGGTTCAGCATCAATTAGACTCACATCTGGGAAAGTAGCAACATGTGAAAGTACCCCGGGTCAATCACCTGTGAAAAAGGAGGAAGTTCGGAGGAAACATTACTGCAAGATAGAGCCTGTATGTTTACTTGGCTGGCATATTTTAGTAGCACGAAAAGTTTTTAGTTAGATTCTTGAGGAGTAAGCATGTTAGTGAAAATTAAGACAATATTTTGTAATGGGAAAACTGTGACTGTAATATGATTCAATTATAAGGAGTGGGTTGTATATGATCGTGTAATGTGTTTGGGGCCTAAGAGAGCATTTAGGCAACATTCTGGGTTCATGTTCACCCTCGGGAATCATAAAGTGGGAACAATAAACTTTTATTTTCTATTAAAAATACTTCCCAGGAGTCTACCAGAGTTTCTCAGGGTGTAGCAACCACATCGGGGTAGAGATGACTGCTGATTTCAGGACTGAAATGAAGCATCTCCTGGATGGGCTTCCTTCTGTTCACACTGCATGTTCTGCACGTGGAACCTGACACCGAGGTTACAACTCACCAAAGGGCATCGTCCTAGTGACCTGAGTGCCCACCACCGGTGTGCTTGCTCTGGAAGTGGAGGGAGCCTTCCGAAGCTGGGGGTTTTGGCCAACTACCTGGGAGGGACCTCTCAAAGTCCAAAATCAAAGTGCCCTAACCTGGAGAAGTTTGTGGTTAACACTTAATGAGCACTTAGACTTTGAATGAGTGCAGTATTTGGTAAGACATGACTTGAAGTGGTTTAATAACTGGTGCAAGTTCCAATAGCTAGGAAGTGGCAGACTGGAGATTCAAAGCTAGATCTTTTGACTCTGAAGAACATTCATGTTGCTTTCTGTTCATCAAGAAAAATGACCTCATGTTTCTCACTCAGAGCCTTAAATGAAGAAAAGTCAGAATTGCCAATGGTACAATTTTTCTCAAATGGATAACCACAATTACAAACTTTATATCAATGTTTTAGTACTTCACATATCATCTTTGTCATCATGCTATATAAAGTTTTTGTTGTTGAAAAGAACTTAATAGTTAAATGCTAATTCATTTAAATTATCTAAATTCCAAAAATATAGTTGTTTTAAATAATTAAAACTGATCTAGTGGCCGGCGCCACGGCTCAATAGTCTAATCCTCCGCCTAGCAGCGCCGGCACCACAGGTTCTAGTCCCGGTCGGGGCGCTGGATTCTGTCCCGGTTGCCCCTCTTCCAGGCCAGCTCTCTGCTATGACCCGGGAGTGCAGTGGAGGATGGCCCAAGTCCTTGGGCCCTGCACCTGCATGGGAGACCAGGAGAAGCACCTGGCTCCTGGCTTTGGATCAACGTGATGCTCTGGCCGCAGCGCGCTGGCCGTGGCGGCCATTGGAGGGTGAACCAAAGGCAAAGGAAGACCTTTCTCTCTGTCTCTCTCACTGTCCACTCTGCCTGTAAAAAAAAACCAAAAAAAACAAACAAACAAACAAACAAAAATCAATGAGAGAAAAATCACTTGACCCCTTGGATCTACCCTGGGCTTTGCTGCAAATTGGCTGTGTGACTCTGATAGACCTCTTAAAATTGTCCAAGGTCACACCAACACTATGAGTCCTTCTGACTACATTATCTAATGAAGGTGAAAGAAAAAAGCCCAGTTCTAATCCGGCTGCTTGATGTGAATTTTTGTACCAGTAAGATCAGTTAATGATGGGGCAAGTGTTGTGACATGGTGAGTTAAGCCAGCTCCTGGGACACCCACATCCGATAGTGAAGTACCAGTTGAGTCCTGGCTACTCTACTACCTATCTAGTTCCCTGGTAATTTACTTGGGAGGCAACAGATGATGGTCCCAAATACTTGAGTTCCCATTACCCACATGGGAGACCCAGATGGAGCTGCTAGCTCCGGGCTTTGGCCTGGCCCAGCTCTGGCTGTTGCTGTCATTTGGGAAGTGATCCAGCAGATGGAAGATCACACTCTATCTCTGTCACTCTGCCTTACAAATAAATAAATCTTAAAAAAAAAAAAAAAAAGGTCAGATAATTGAATCAAAACAGGAAATTTGTGGGAGTCCCAAATTTCCATGAATTGGAACTAGTGTTCCTAGAGCAAAATACCTGATAAGCAGGGGGCAATAAATACACATGGCCCAACCCAACAGACATTAAACAAAATGACTCCCCTTATTTGGCTTCTTGTCCCTTCTTAGTTATGATAGACTTGGAATCTTTTTGTTCTTAAGTTTTTTTATTTATAAATGGGTGATATATATCAACTAACCTGGGAGCTCAAAAAGAAAGTAATGAAAGATGCACAGTGTTGTATCTCTTCTAATATATACATACATTTACATACATAAATAATGAGAGTATGGTTGTTCTCACGTGAGTGCTGCTGAGATTGTTTGGAAACCATTCTTTTTTTAATTTTTTTTAACTTTTATTTAATGAATATAAATTTCCAAAGTACGATTTATGGATTACAATGGCTTCCCCCACATACCGTCCCTCCCACCCACAACCCTCCCCTTTCCCACTCCCTCTCCCCTTCCATTCACATCAAGATTCATTTTCGATTATCTTAATATACAGAAGATCAGCTTAGTATACATTAAGTAAGGATTTCAACAGTTTGCTCCTACACAGAAACATAAAGTGAAAAATAATAGATGATTTTTTTTTAAATGATGATGAAATCAGATCAGACCTATTGTCATGTTTAATCTCAGTGAGAGTCAAGTTGGGAGTTGATAATTTCTTTTTTTTTTTTTTTTACAGAGGGATCAGTTTAGTATGCATTAAGTAAAGATTTCAATAGTTTGCACTCCCATAGAAGACACAAAGTGAAATATATTGTTTGAGTA